CAACTGTGCAGTAAAGGAGGACAATGACCTCAAAATGTAAAAAATGTGCTAGTATCTTGAACAGAGGTAGAAATATATAATTCAATATGATAAATATATCCTAAAACTGTATCAATATACAAAATGTCTTAAACAGATGTAGAAACACGCATGCATACAATCTGACAAAATAACTTTGCATAGGTGTACAAATATTATAAACAGAAATAGGAGCATATTCAATATAACAAATAAAATTTGAACTTGTATCAATATATAAGAACCTATACCAATGTAAATTGTCCATAAATAACAGCTTACAAGTATTCACTCTATTACGCACTATTATTATTATTAGTGTGAGTGAGCTCACACTAATCTACCTATTGTCCCATTTCATTTCCCATAATTTCCACCCCAACCTCCAACCGTATACAGGTAATAATCAACCCCTAAATGGTGTTCCTAATCCTGAGGACAAACTTTGTTGGAAGAGGGGACGTCGTCTTCTAGAATTGCTTCCAGCTGTCATAGGGATGGCGCTCTTTCTATGGGGTCCTGTAAAAGTAAAATGATGGTTAAGTTTAAAGATTACTGTCATGTATAATTGCAAATGATCTCAGAGTAGTTAATAGGGGTTTTCAGAAGTTTTTATTTGGAGTTCTGGCCAGAACATTGTAAGAAGTTACATCATTTCAGCTAATCAAGTTGGAACCATCTTGAGTAGTTGGTACCCAAAACCGGTCTTATAGTAGTGCTATCAGCATCATGACATCATATCTACCAGGTGGAGTCATTGTTGACGGGTCCCATCTTCTTCCTGGAAACTTCAAAGATTATTGCAGGAAAATCTACTGTTCATTGTGGAAAACTTGAACATTATTTATATATACATATATTCAACAAAAGATATGATATAAACAAAATAGGCATGGAGAAAAGTAAAATATTTCCTTAAAAATCTATCTTCTTTCTGTCCCATATCAGATGGCTCCTGACATAAGACAGAAACTCTGAATTGTTCTTTTAACAACATGCTTGGATTTAGAGAAGGATAGCCATTGTCCAACTTCAAAGCTAACGTGTTATATATGTAAATATATATGTAAATATATACATACACACATATAGTGAATTTTTTTACCCTCAGATGACCTCTGTGGATGAACCATTATTTCTCTTTCTCAAGAGGTTTCTTTTTCAAACAGAATCTTTATTAATGTTAATGGTATTCATAGCTTTTCTTCTTCTGTGGAAACAAGAATGAAACCCCTTCTCCAATGTAGCACGTCTCCTGGTTTACATTGTGAGGTCAACATATCCTTGAAATACACTGGCTGTATTTCATAAGTTTCTTCTATTATCTGACGTCTTTCTGCTTCCATTGTTCCTTCCTTATTAGCGTTAAGAAAATTCAAGGTTAGTAAAGCATTATACAATCTATTTCTGTTTGGAATGGGGGTATTTTCCATCTCTTTCTGTTTGTTTAGCATATCCTTTATCATTTGGTTTGATCTTTCTATAACTGCCTGACCTGTAGGATTGTTTGGTATACTGTAATATGCTTTATATTACAATAATCAAAAAAAACTTTCATTTTCTTAGACACATATGCTGGACCATTGTCTGTCTTTATTTGTGCAGGTATACATATGATAGCTGTAACTTCTAGTAAATGAGTGATTACTAAATCAGCCTTTTCTGAGCTCAAGGCAGTTACTTGTTGAAAACCTGAATAAGTGTCAATGGTGTAGTGTACATATTTTAACTTTCCAAATTCTGTACAGTGGAATACATCCATCTGCCAGATTTCATTCCTTTGAGTACCCTTTGGGTTACTCCCTGCTGATAACGTCATTTGGTTATAGAAAGAGCAAGTAGGACATCTCTTTATAATCTCCTTAGTTTGCTGCCATGTAATAGAAAACTCTTTCTTTAAACCTTTTGCTATTGGCATGATGTTTTTATGAAATTCTGAGGCCTTCAGCACATTTCCAATCAATAATCAATTTCTGCATTACCTTGTGCTAGAGGGCCTACCTAACCCATATGGGATTGGTTGTGTATTATGTCTATAGGGCAAAGCCTATTCCTGATTATGTCTTGAACCTGAATGAATAATTAAGTCAATTCTGTATAATCTAGTATAAAGTCAGCAGTTTCAATATGCAAGACTACATTTTCTGCATATTGTGAATCAGTAACTATATTGAAAGGTTCATTAAAATCCCTTAATACCATGAGAATAGCATATAACTCTGCCTTTTGGACAGAATTATAAGGGCTTTGTTCCACCTTACTTAATTCCTCTGATTTGCAACCTGCCTTTCCTGATTTATTTGCATCAGTATAAAATTACAGGCTCCAGTTATTGGTGTGCCACATACAGTTTGGGGAAGAATCCAAGTATTTCTCTTTATAAGGTTAATTCTATCACTTTTGGGATAATTGCTATTTCTCCCCAAAAAAAAATTAGCACAAACTCTTTGCCATGGCTCACTGTCTTCCCATATTTTTTTTAATTTTATCAGTAGTAAAAGGCACTATGAGCTCTGTTGAGTCTATACCTGCTAATTGACAAAGTCTCAGTTTAACTTTTCCTTTTATAATTAATTCAGAGACTTTTTCCACATAAGTTTTTAATTTTTTACTTGGCTTATGTGGTTAAAAAAAAAGATCCATTTTAAGGTATCTTCTCTCTGCATTAAAATTCCTGTTGGGGAGATTCTGGAAGGCAATTTTAAGATATTTATTCACTCTATCTACATGTGCCTCCTGTAATTTCTCTTCAACAATCATCAGTTCTTTTTCCACTTCAGCTGTTAATTCCCTGGGACTATTTAAGTCTTTGTCATCATCTAAGGTTTTGTTTAAATAAATTATTAGATCAGGTGTTATCCCAATAGCCAGTCATAGACTGGAAATATCTCCTAACAATCTTTGAAATTCATTAAGAATCCACAATCAGTCTCTCCTAATTTGTGCCTTTTGTGGTCTAATTTTCTAAACCTATTTTATAACCTAGGTAATTGACAGAATCTCCTCTTTGTATTTTTTCAAGAGCAATTTGTAATCCCCATTTAGGCAAAATTTTCTTTGATTCTTCAAACATTCTTTCTAAAATATCTGCATTTGAATCAGATAACAAAATGTCATCCATGTAATGGTAAATTATAGGAAGTTGCTTACATATCATTTCCAATGGCTGACTTACCAAGTATTGGCACAGGGAAGGGCTATTGAACATTCCCTGTAGGAGGATAGTCCACTGGTATTTCCTAGTAGGCTGAGAATTATTATAAGTAGGCACTGTGAAGGCAAATTTTTCTCTGTCCATTTCTTGTAAAGGCATAGAGAAGAAACAATCCTTTAAATCAATAACTATGAGAGGCCATCCCTTTGGCAATAGAGAAGGCAAAGGAATTCCAGATTGTAGTGGGCCCATAGGTTGAATTACCTTGTTGACAGCTCTTAAATCTGTCACCATTCTCCATTTTGCAGATTTCTTTTTAACAACAAAAACAGGAGAATTCCAAGGACTGGTAGATTCTTCAATATGGTGAACATCTAGTTGCTCCTGTACCAGCTGTTCTAAAACTTGCAGTTTGTCTTCTGTTAAAGGCCATTGTTTAACCCATATTGGTTTCTCGGTTAACCATTTTAAAAGCAAGGCTGTTAGTACCTCTGAAGATTTGCTAGCTGAATTGTGCTCTTGTATAGTCTGAATGACTTGTGACCTTTGTTTATAATACCTTATAATATCCTTCCCAGAAACATAAGTTTTTGGGACTGCAGGAATGTTAATCTGGGTATCCCATTGCTGCAACAGATCATGACCCCATAAATTCACTACCATATTAGCTACATATGGCCTCAGCCTTCCTTTGTGTCCTCCTGGTCCTATGCATTCAACCCATCTTGTGCTTTATTTCACTTGAGATAGGATTCCCATTCCTCTTTAAGAGGCCAATTTGGATACCAAAATTCTGGAGTAATGATACTCATGTCCGCACCCATATCTAGTAATCCCTCAATTACATTGCCATTTATATGCACTCTTAGCTTTGGTCTTTGATCATTTACACCCAAAAGTCACACCCCAACATGGTCCAGCCTCTTAAAGGCTATTGGCTGAAGGAGGTTCCCCATCACAACTCAGGGTGATTTCCCAAACTTTTCACCCTGGATCAGGGTGTCAGGGCCTGCCAAGGGATTCAAGGGAGTGCTGACAGATAGAATGTAGGCAGGCCACATCAGAAACCAGCTCTGCTAAGATAGAAACACTGAAAGGAGGGTAGGTAAGGTCCAGGCTTGGGCTAACTTGAGCTCAGAACTTCTCAGGATTATTCAGGGTGGACAGTCCACTGAAAAGCCAGTGTCCTGTTAGGCCAGAGCAATGTAGTGAGTTCCTGAAGCCATTTCCTGAATCACTTGCACATTTTTACACCAATGAGATCACAGCCTCCCAATGCTAGCCAAAATGGTCAGCTGGGGGGACACTGACTGGGAATCTGGGAATCTGTTCACATTCTCACCTTCTTCTACTTCTTCTTCTTCTTCTTCTTCTTCTTCTTCTTCTTCTTCTTCTTCTTCTTCTTCTTCTTCTTCTTCTTCTTCTTCTTCTTCTTCTTCTTCTTCTTCTTCTTCTTCTTCTTCTTCTTCTTCTTCTTCTTCTTCTTCTTCTTCTTCTTCTTCTTCTTCTTCAGATAGGATATGTAACCCCACAGAACTGGCCTAGAACTTGCTACATAGACCAGACTGGCTTCAAAGTCACAGAGATCTGTTTCCTTCTGTCCTCCCAGTGCCAGGATTAAAGACACATACCACACCTAGCCCCTGTTTACATTGTATATGAAAATTCTTACCACAAAATAGTTTCAAATCTTCAGTTTCTCAGCTTGGAGCTTTCTTCCAGATGAAAGATTCCTTGAAGCCAGATTAAGGAGCCATGACTATGCTGGGGAGTCAAATTAGAGTGTGGGTTGGGTGAACATTGACTCAATACAGGGAAAAAATTCTGACTTTTTCATTATGCTAAAATATGTACCTTCCTCTAACATTCCTGTTTTGTTTTTGTTTTATTTTTTGAAACAGGGCATTGTGGAATATTAGTTGAAGCTATGTTACATTTGTTTATGCTGTGGAATATTTGTTGAATGATGCAAAGGTATGTTGTATACTTTATGTTGCGTTTGTGAACTCTGTGAAGCTGTGTTACTTTGCCAGTCTAAAGAACCTGATTGTTCCAGTAAGGAGCTGGCAGGAACGAGGATAAGTGGGGCTAGCAGGCAAAAAGGATAAAATAGGAGAAGGGGAAGGAGAGAGGATGCCAGGGACCAGCCACCCAGCTACATAGTCAGCTATGGAGTAAGACGTAAAGAAAGACATTATGAAAAGTAAAAGCCCAGAGGCAAAAGGAAGACAGGATAACTTAAGAAAATCTGGTTAGAAATAAGCCAAGCTAAGGCCAAGCACCCGTAAGAAAGAATTTTAAAAAAAAAAACTATAATGGAGTTTCTCTGTGTAGCCCTGGCTGTCCTGGAACTAGGTCTTAGACCAGGCTGGCCAAGAATTCACAGAAATCCACCTGCCTCTACCCCGAGTGCTGGGATTAAAGGCATGCACCTCCACTGCCCGGATATTCTTAAGTATGCATATTCTTAATACATCCCTTAAGTATGAACCTGATGGCATAAAGTCCACTTGGAGTGCTGTGCAGCTTTTCCTCATCCAAAGCAGCAGCTCCACGCCCTCTCTGTACCGTCCACTCCTCCAGTCCTGATAGCCACCATTCTGCTTTCCATCCGTGTGAATGTGAACTCTCATGTAACTGGAATGCTACAATATTGTCTCTTATGGCTGGTTTATCACAAAGTTGCCCATGCTGTAACATGTATCAGGACCTCATTCCTTCCTTTCTGCCATCTCCAACCCCTGGCTCAGAGAGAGGTGCAGACAGCAGACACTCAATATGCAAGGCTGTATATCCATCTGTCCCATGAAAAAAAGTTTGATCATCTCTTCCTAAAATTGAGTCTGATAAGAAGACCTACCTAACTCTAATTTTTTCAAGCACTTAGATACGTTGTCTTCTTGACAAATTTGTAAACAATACAACTCAAACCAATTAACTGATAAAGTTAACCAAATTCAGGAAAACATAAGCAACGAGGCACAATCTCCGACACAAATGCAGATGGATTCACACTTCTTAAAAATAAACAAATGTGTGAAGCATTAATTATAATTTTTACAGCAGAACATCTCATCATGTGTCATAAACTATCAAATAAATGCAGTCAGAAGGTTAAGTGTAAGCACTGCAAATCCTACTTACAGGATCTATGTGGGTCAGGGTCTAAGGAGTGGGAAGGAGAGCTCACTGTCAGACTGACACAAGGAAAGAAGTAGAAATTGCTCCTACCGGTAGTCGTCAATTCCTTCTTCTGATCATGAGCCAAGACTTACCTGTATGTGGTCAGTCACGGTGGGGTACACCTGTAATCTCAGCCCTCAAGAGACTGAGGCACGAGGGTTGCAAATTCCATGCCGGTCAGAAATCTGCAATATGGCGGTATGGTCTATGTGGCAAGACCAAGTCTCAAGAAAACAAATAACAGAAAAAGAACTGACTGAATCTTCTCCACCTGAAAATGTGATTGACATGTGCCCACAGTTTTCGGTAGTTGACATGCAAAGAAGAACAAACTGAAAGTTATCATTGGAGAACCTAGCGATCAGAGTAAATGACAGCCTCTGGACTGTGTGACTGGAGCAGTTGCTGACAGGCACAACTTTCCCCTAAGCAGACACTACTGTTGCCCAGAATTCATTAGATCAAACTATGACCAATCCTTCATAAAGATTTCTGTTATTATAAAAATAATGTAACACAATGAAATTACAAAAAAGGGGGGGTTGCCTTAGTTCACAGTTTTAGAGGGCTCTGCCCACTGCTTCTGGATCATGGTGACGCCGCACCCCACAGTGAAGCACAAAACAGAGCACAGTCTGAAAGGAAGTGAAAGGAAGTGGCTAGGTCCTACTGTCCTGTCAAGAGAACCTCAACTCAGGTGATCTGAAAACTTCTCATTGGGGCTCACCTTTTTCTTTTTCTTTTTTAACTTTTTTTAAAAATCTGGTCTTTCCAAGTGCATGCTTGTATGTGGTATGTATGCACGTATACATGAATGTTTATATGTGTGTGTGTTTGCATAGGTACGTGTGGAAACCTGAAGCTGACATCAGAGTCTTCCTCCATTGATCTCCAATTTGTTCACCCAGAGTTTCCAATATAGCTAGCTGGATAATCCTTCAGTCCTGTCTTAGCCTACCAAGACAGGCTGCTACAGCCATCAGGAAACAATAGTGTTGCTGGGGTCCTCATGCTTGCAAGCCAACTTGTAGCCACTGAGCCATCCCTCCCACCAGTAGGTCTCACCTTTTAAAGGTTTCATAACTCTAGTAGTGCTGGCTTGAGGAACAAGCTTTCACCACTTGGAACCTTGGCGATACAACATCCAAACTATGGTAGACCATTCTTGAGGTGTCCCCCATCAGACTGCCCAGTCCATATTAGATTTTATTGCATGATTTTCTAAACCATTGTTAGACTAATGCTCACTGTGATTCCTCATGTAAGCAGAGAATATGGCAATTCCTAACCTTACTTCAGTCTAGAGCCCATAGTTCACAGGCCTTGTTGTGGTAGAGTTGTCGGGCATGTATTTTGAGATAATAGATTAAAGCAATAAAAACAAAAGAATTTGGAAGCTGCCCATACGGTTTGATGCGAAAGCACCATGTACACATAGGACAGGCATTGTGGAAGGGCAACTGGAGTTTAAATGCTGTGGTATTTTGAATATAATTGGCCCCCATAATTTTATAATCTCAAAAGGTCATAGGGAGTGGCACTATTAGGAGGTGTGGCTTTGTTGGAGTGGGTGTGGTCTTTTTGAAGAAAGTGTGTCACTGTGTGAGTGGACTTTGAGGTTTCCTATGCTCAGGATACCACCCAGTGTGTCAGTCAACTTCCTGTTGCCTGTACGATGTAGGACACTTGGCTACTTCTCCAGCATATGCTTGCCTGAGCACCGCCATGCTCCTTGCCCTGATGGACTGAACTTCTGAAACTGTAAGCGAGTCACCACAATTAAATGTTTCCTTTAGCTGGGTGGTGGTAGCGCACGCCTTTAATCCAAGCACTTGGGAGGCAGAGGCAGGCGGATCTCTGCAAGTCCAAGTCCAGTCTGGTCTACAAAGTGAGTTCCAGGACTGACTCCATAGCTACTGAGAAACTGTCTCGAAAGCAAACAAACAAAACCAAATGTTTCCTTTCTAAGAATTATCATGGTCATGGTGTCTCTTCACAGCAATCGAAATCCTAAGACAGATGCACAGATGTGTTTAGCCTGCTACCCACAGGCCACATGTACCCCAGGGCAACTATGAATGCTGCCTGGCACAGAATCATAAAACATTATATAGGTTTGTGTGTGTGAGTGTGTGTGTGTGTGTGTGCTGAATTTATTTGTAACTTGATTATGAGGGTCTTGAATGTGACCTTTGCAGGAGACAAGGTGGACTCACTAAAAGGCTGCCCATACCTAGGAGCCTACATTTCTGGCAAAGTGAACCAGTTTCAAATCCTATTTTTCCCGCCAAATAGCTGCATGTTAGGGGCTAATTATTTAACCCACTTCATCTCAGTTTTCTGTCTACCTCAGTAAATTGTTCCAGGATTATATGAGAGTATATCAAATTATAAGGATTGAAATCCAGCCAGAAGGCATTTATTTTATGAATTTGTGAGATTATGAATGTGGAATTGTTAACTGGAAAACACAGTAGTTGCAATCGCAGAAGGCCGCTGCCAGCCACAGAACTGAGGGTCCAGCCAGGCTGACCTTATAATGTTCTTTCAAGGTCTGTGAAGACTTTTGTTGGGATTTTGACGGGGATTGCATTGAATCTATATATAGATTGCCTTTAGTAGGATTGCCATTTTTACTATGTTGATACTACCAATCCAAGAGCACGGGAGATCTTTCCATTTTCTGGTATCCTCTTCAATTTCTTTCTTCAAAGACTTAAAGTTCTTGTCAAATAGGTCTTTCACTTCCTCAGTTAGTGTTACCCCAAGATACTTTATGCTATTTGTGGCTATTGTGAAAAGTGATGTTTCTCTGGTTTTCCTCTCAGCTTCTCTATCCTTTGTGTATAGAAGGGCTACTGATTTTTTTGAGTTGATCTTGTATCCTGCCACATCACTGAAGGTATTTATCAGCTGTAGGAGTTCTCTGGTAGAGTTTTTGGGGTCACTTATGTACACTATCATATCATCTGAAAGTAACAAAAGTTTGACTTCCTCCTTTCCAATTTGAATCCCCTTGATCTCCTTATGTTGTCTTATTGCTATTGCTAAAACTTCAAGCACTATGTTGAAGAGATACGGAGAGTGGACAGCCTTGTCTTGTTCCTGATTTAAGTAGAATCGCTTTGAGTTTCTCTCCATTTAATTTGATGTTAGCTGTTGGCTTGCTGTATATTGCTTTTATTATATTTAGATATGTTCCTTGTATCCCTAATCTCTCCAATACCTTTATCATAAAGGGGTGTTGAATTCTGTCAAATGTTTTTCGGCATCTAATGAAATGATCATATGGTTTTTTCTTTCAGTTTATTTATATGATGGATTACATTGATAGATTTTTGTATGTTGAACCAGCCCTGCCTCTCTGGGATGAAGCCTACTTGATCGTAATGTATAATTTTTTGGATGTATTCTTGGATTCAGTTTGCCAGTATTTTATTGAGAATTTTTGCATCAATGTTCATGAATGAGATTGGTCTGTAATTCTCTTTCTTGATTGAGTCTTTGTGCGGTTTTGGTATCAGGGTAACTGTAGATTCATAAAAAGAGTTTGGCAATGACCCTTCTGTTTCTATTATGTAGAACACATTGAGTATAGGTATTAGCTGTTCTTGGAAGTTCTGGTAGAATTCTGTGCTAAAACCATATGGCCCTGCGCTATTTTTGGTTGGGAGGTTTTTGATGACAGCTTCTATTTCCTTGCAACTTATACGTCTATATAAATTGCTCACCTGGTCTTGATTTAATTTTGGTATATAGTATCTATCTAAAAAATTGTCCATTTCTTTTACATTTTCCAATTTTGTGGAGTACAGGTTTTTGTAGTAATACCTAATGATTCTCTGAATTTCCTCAGTATCTGTTGTTATGTCTCCCTTTTCATTTCTGATCTTGTTAATTTGAGTGTTCTCTCCACGCCTTTTGATTAGTTTGGATAGGGTTTTGTCAATCTTGTTGACTTTCTCAAAGAACCAGCTCTTTGTTTCATTGATTCTTTGGATTGTTTTTGTGTTTCTATTTTGTTGATTTTATCCCTCAGTTTGATTATTTCCAGTCTTCTACTCCTCCTGGGTGAGTCTGCTTTTTTTTTTCTAGAGCTTTCAGGTGTGCTGTTAAGTCTCTAATGTGAGCTTACTCCGTTTTCTTTATGTGGGCACTTAGTGCTATGAACTTTCCTCTCAGCACTGCTTTCATAGTGTCCCATAGGTTTGGGTATGTTGTCTCTTCATTTTCATTTAATTCAAGGAAGACTTTAATTTCTTTCTTTACTTATTCTTTGACCCAAGGGTGGTTCAGTAGTTGATTTTCAGTTTCCATGAGTTTGTAGGCTTTCTGGGAGTAGTATTGTTGTTAAATTCTAACTTTACTCAATGGTGATCCGATAAGACACAGGGGGTTACTCCAATTTTTTGTATCTGTGGATGTTTGCTTTGTTACCGAGTATGTGATCAATTTTGGAGAAGGTTCCATGAGGTGTTGAGAAGAGGGTATATTCTTTCCTGTTTGGGTGGAATGTTCTATAGATGTCAGTTAAGTTCATTTGATTAATTACATCTGTTAGTTCTCTTGTTTCTCTATTAAGTTTCTGTCTGGTTGATCTGTCCATTGGCAAAAGAGGAGTGTTGAAATCTCCTACTATTATTGTGTGGGGTTTGATGTGTGCTTTGAGTTTTAGTAATGTTTCTTTTACATATGTGGGTGTTTTTTATATTGGGGGCATAGATATTCAGGATTGAGACTTCATCTTGATGAATTGTTCCTGTTATGAGTAGAAAGTGCCCTTCTCCATCTCTTCTGATTGATTTTAGTTTGAAATCAATTTTGTTAGATATTATGATAGCCACACCTGCTTGTTTCTTAAGTCTGTTTGATTGGAAAACCTTTTCCCAACCCTTAACTCTGAGGTACTGTCTGTCTTTGAGGTTGAGGTGTGTTTCTTTTATACAGCAGAAGACTGGATCCATTCTCTTAATCTGTGCCTTTTTATAGGTGAATTGAGTCCATTGATATTAAACAATATTAATGACCAGTGGTTGGTTGGGGCTGGAGAAATGGCTCAGTGGTTAAGAGCACTGACTGGTCTTCCAAAGGTCCTGAGTTCAATTCCCAGCAACCACATGGTGGCTCACAACCATCCATAAGGAGATCTGGTGCCCTCTTCTGGCCTGCAGGCAGACATGCAAACAGAATACTGACAATACTGTATACATAATAAATAAATAAATACTTTAAAAAAAATGACCAGTGGTTGTTAACTCCAGTTATCTTTTGGTGGTAGTGTTTGTGTGTTTCCCTTCTTTGAGTTGTGTTGGTAGACGGTTATTAGATGTCTGTGTTATTGTGGTTGTTGTTAGCTTCCTTGGGTTGAGGTTTTCCTTCTAGTACTTTCTGTAAGGCTGGGTTTGTGGATACATATTGCTTAAATTTGTTTTTGTCCTGGAATATCTTGTTTTCTTCATCGATGGTGAAAGAAAGCTTTGCTGGGTATAGTAGTCTGGGCTTGCATCCATAGTCTCTTAGTGTCTGCAGCACATCTATCCAAGACCTTCTGGCTTTCATGGTTTCCATTGAGAAGTCAGGTGTAAGTCTGATCGGTTTACCTTTATATGTTACTTGACCTTTTTCCTTTGCAGCTCTTAAAGTTCTTTCTTTATTCTGTATGTTTTATGTTTTGATTATTATATGGCGAGGGGATTTTTTTTTTTGATCCAATCTATTTGGTGTTCTGTAAGCTTCTTATACCTTCACAGGGATATCCTTCTTTAGGTTGGGAAAGTTTTCTTCTATCATTTTTTGAATATATTTTCTGGGCCTTTGAGCTGTCTTCTATCCCTATTATTCTTAAATTTGGTCTTTTCATGGTGTCCCAGATTTACTGGATGTTTTGTGTTAAGAATTTGTTGGATTTGATGTTTTCTTTGATCAATGAGTCTATTTCCTCTATAGTATCCTCAGTGCCTGAGATTCTGTCTTCTATCTCTTGTATTCTGTTGGTTATACTTGTCTCTGTAGTTCCTGTTCGTTTACCCAGATTTTCCATATCCAGTCTTCCCTCAGTTTTTGTTTTCTTTATTACCTTCATTTCAGTCTTCAAGTCTTGAACTGTTTCCTTTACCTGTTTGATTGCTTTTTCTTGGTTTTCTTGGGTATCTTTGAGGGATTTATTAATTTCTTCTAACTTTTTGTTTGTCTTCTCTTCCATTTCTTTAAGGGAGTTTTTCACTTCCTGTTTAAAGGTCTCCATCATTTTCATAAGGTTACACTTAAAGTAATTTTCTTCTACTTCTCCTGGGTTAGGATGTTCAAGTTTTCCTGTTGCATGTTTGCTAGATTCTGATGTTACCATGTTGCTTTTCAGGTTATTGGAGGAATTCTTGCATTGGTGCCTGTCCATCTCTTCCTTCAGATGAGGCCAGCAGAGTCTTGGCGTCTTGGTTCAATCTTTGCTGTGGCTGACTGAGTACTTGGGAGTTTTTCTTGTCTGCCCTCTCTTAGGTCCCCTCAGCACTGGAGCAGGCTGTGTTTGAGGATTCCAAGGACCTCGCAGGCGAAAGGCAAGGTGGGCTTGGGGGCAGGGTGGGTTGGGGGCAAGCCTAGCAGCAGGGTTGGGGGCAAGCCCAGCAGCAAGGACACTCACAGCTGGCTGGCCAGAAAAGCTAGGGAGTTGTGGAGGAGCCCCTATGTTCTGGCCCACTGGTAAGGTCCTGGAGAGTGGGGTGTCCAGCTCTCCAGGCTTCTGGGCACTGGCTCACCTCTCAGATCCCCTCAGCACTGATGCAGGCTGTGTTGCAGTGTTCCAGGGATCTCACAGGCAAAAAGGCGGGCTTGGGGGCAGAGTAGGATGGGGTAAAGAAAGCCAGCAGCAGGAACACACTCCGCTGGATGGCCAGAAAAGCTTAGGGAATTGGGGGGGGGGGATTCTGTCCCCCTGGGAAGGTCCCGGAGAGTGGTACTTCCGGCTGTCCAGCCGTGTGGCCACTGACTCACCTGTCCGGTCCCCTCAGCAGGGGAACAGGGTCTCTTGCAGGGTATCCAAGGACCTCGTAGACAAAAAGGCAGGCTTGGGGACAGGGTGGGATGGGAGAAAGAAGGCCCAGGCTGACCTTATAAAAATGTAGCAGTTTGAGGGCTCTGCAGAGCTAAACCGCTGCCACCTCTAACTGGAAGGAAGTTTGCTGCTGGAGTGGGCGGGGGAAGGGGTCCTGAGGGGATGAGAATAGCTGTCATCTGGCCAGTGGCTGCTTCTAGAGGTGACCATGACAGAGACTGGCCCGATGCTCTAGGGAGCAGGAAACAAACAGGAAAGGTGTGGCTGTTGGTGGAAAAGAGAGCAAGGATGATTCATCCTCACCGTCACCCGCGTGTCTCCACACGGGCAACACACATACACATGCAAATACCATCCCACACGCCTGCCTCCACACGGGCAACACACATACACATGCAAATACCATCCCACACGCCTGCCTCCACACGGGCAACACACATACACACGCAAATACCATCCCACACACGTGCCTCCACACCAGCAATACACATACACACACAAATTCCTATCCCACACGTGTGTCTCCACACTGACAACACACATACACACACAAATACCATCCCACACGCGTGCCTCCACACCAGCAACACATGCAAACACCATCACACGTGTGCCTCCACACACACATACACACGCAAATACCATCCCACACACGTGCCTCCACACCGACAACACACATACACACGCAAATACCATCCCACACGCATGCCTCCACACCAGCACACATGCAAACACCATCACACGCATGCCTACACACACACATACACATGCAAATACCATACACATAAGCAAAAAAGGATAGATTTGTACAGAAAAACAAAAGCCTAGTTGCTGGCACAGCGCAGAGCCTTTGATGCTTGGAAAACATCTGCTTTTTATTCTTCCTCCTGAAACCTGACCTGGTCAGGCCTGTACATGCTATATATTTGCAGGATTTCTGTGAGACAGGGTTAGATTAAGTGCCTGGAGTGTCGAGAAATTCAACAAAACGAACAAGGCAGGCTTGGGACTACATCTCACATGTGAAGGGTCTAAGATCGAGGTTTTTGTTTTGTTTTTCAAGACAGGGTTTCTTTGTGTGGTCTTGGCTGTCCTAGAAATAGCTCTGTAGACCAGGCTGGCCTCGAACTCACAGAGAATCACCTGCCTCTGCCTCCTGAGTGCTGGAATTAAAGGTGTGTGCCACCACTGCCCAGCTAAGACTGAACTCCCTATTTGCTTCTCTACTCTTCCCCCAATCTCATCCTCCCTCAGGCTTTGAAAGTATAAGTCAAAGCAGGTCATCTCCCTGAGCTCACTCCCCTGCCTTTCTAGAGAGGACCCTGGCTGCTCACACCTGCCCTCATTCCGGGTCTGCCTGTCAACCCCCACCACCATCACCACCGCCGCCCCACCACACACACACACACACACACACACACACACACACACACACACACACTGCTCCTTCTTGTTCACTTGGTTTCAGTCACACATGCCTCTTCTCTGTTCTTAACACCTTACAGTTCTTTCTCACCTTGGGTCTTGATGCAGTCCATCCTCTGTGCAAATTGCTATGCCCCAGCTCTTATTAAGGCCTTCAGAGAAGGCATTTCAGAGAGGCCTTCCCTCAGACCACTTTAACTACAGTTATCCCACACTGTTCCTTTCATAATATGTAACACAAAATGTATCGTCTTTGTTTTCTCTGGCTGTTTAATGAGAGGCATGGATGGACCAACCCACTTTCAGACAACCAGCTCCCTTTACCTTCTACCCACACACGTGGGAGCCACAAAGCCACAGGCCTCTGGTATCCTGTCCCCTTCCAGAACAGCAGATAGGCCAAAGTACGCCATGTGAGGATTTGCTGAATGAATGAATGAATGAATGAATGAACGGAGAGATGGGTTATTGAATAACTGAGTAACACAAATGAGATGGAACCTAATCACCAGGGCCAACAATTAAATGGGAAAAGTGGATGCAGCAATCCATTTTTTAAAATTGATATTATTATAATGAAATAGCTAAGGTTAGGTAACATATTTTTTAAAAAAATATTTATTTATTATTTATTATGTATACAATATTCTTTCTTTCTGCGTGTATGCCTGCAGGCCAGAAGAGGGCACCAGACCTCATTACAGATGGTTGTGAGCCACCATGTAGTTGCTGGGAATTGAACTCAGTACCATTGGAAGAGCAGGCAATGCTCTTAACCACTGAGCCATCTATCCAGCCCGTTAGGTAACCTCTAAAAAAAAAAAAAAAGATATTTTAGTCCAAAACTTCTAAAGTTCTGAGGCTCACATCTGATCACAGCTTTGTTGAAAGGGGGTCTCCAGGGACTACATACACCACATGGTACAAAGCTGGGAGTGTGTGTGTGTGTGTGTGTGTGTGTGTGTGTGTTCCATCCCCTGATCTTTATTTCCTAACTTTTCTTAGATGACCACCACAATCCAGTCAAGAGGGACTGATCTTGATGACTTTTTCCAGTCATTTTCAAAGGCTCCATCTTTAAAGACCACAGATGGATAAGTTTCTGCCTGTTTAAAGGCTTCTTTGGAGGGGTTAGATTTGAACACATGAAACACTGGGAGCTACTCAAACCATATCCATAAGCCAGGGCAGTGAGCATGTGCTCCCGAGTTTACAGTCAGTCACTCCCTCTGCCAAGCCAGAAGCACAGTGTCTTTAAATTAATTACTCTTAAATGAGCAACTCATAAATTAGACCTCATCACCCGGTCAACAATGGAATGTCTAGGCCTTAATCTTCTCATCTGGGTCACTGCAATACTGCCTTGATCGTGGTTTTCCTGCCTCAAACTCTCCCACTTCAAATACTAAACTCTTCTGCCAATTTGTAGAGTCATTTGTAAGTGGTAGTCTATGGCAACTTGAAATTAGTAAAATCCAATGTCCTGTGTAGATAAAAATAATTATGAATTCTAATTCTAAATCTTATTCTTTCCCTAATGCCAACACCTTGAGCCATAAGGTGCAAATATGCCCTTGGAAGACAGGAGGATCTCTGTGAATTCGAGGCCAGCCTGGTCTACAGAGTGAGTTCTAGGACAGTCATGGATACACAGAGAAACCCTGTCTCAAAAAGAAAAAACGCACTTAATCATCAGATATTCATCAGCTAATATTTGTCAAATGGTGAACTCTGTGCAAAGCAATGAAAACACAGATAACCCAGGCAGGTCCTGTCCTGAGCAGTTCTAGTGTGTTAGGACACCGAGACATAGAGAAGCAAACAAAACAGAAAATGCTCAGTGCAAAGATGACTATAAGCAGTGCATCTTATGTAGGAAGAAGAACCTACTTTGGACATGAGGCAAAGCGTTCCAGAGATGACAGGAGCCAGACATGAGAGACAGTAGGTGCTGCACAGGAAGAAGGAACAGTATGCACGGGACATGGAAATCGTTCAGGTTAGCTGGAGTGCAGCATGTGAAGGGGAAAACACAGGGACGAGCCTGCGGGGATCAACGGAGGCGAGAACCATAAAGAGGACAAGCATGGGTTGGAATTCTTCCCTGATGGTAAGAGAAGCCATTGTAAGATTTTAACCAAAAGTAGCTTTAAAGCTAAGCGTAGTGGTGCATGCCTTTAATCCCAGCACTCAGGAGGCAGAGGCAGGTGGATCTCTGTGTGCTCAAGGCCAGCCTGGTCTACAAAATGGGGCTTTTAGGGCATCTAGGGCAGTTAGAGAGACATTGTCTTGAAAAACCAAAAAAAACAGGGAGGCTTTAAAAAATAAAAATGGGCTGGAAAGATGGCTCAGTAGTTTAGAAAGTGTACTATTTCTGTACAAGCCCTGAGGCTAGTTCTCAGCACCTATGCCCAGTGGCCCACAACTGCCTGTAATCCAGTTCCAGGGGATATGACAATTCTGGCCCCTAAGAACACCAGAATTCACACACACACACACACACACACACACACACACACACACACTGGTATACATAAAAATAACAAAAAAATAATAAAGGCATTGCCTGGTTGATTGTAGGAAACAAGTGTTGGGATGAAGTAATTTAGTTGTTGGGGTGCTAACATGCAGGGGGGATAGGCATATGCAGAAGAGGAAGAGGGGGCATGAAACGCTGGCATACCTCTGGCTTGTGAATGAGATTGCGGATGCAATCCTTCACTCAGTGACCCTGGAAGGGAAGGAGCTAAGCTTTGGACATGTTGAGGTTGAGGAGCCAGCAAGACAGAGATCGGAGGTCTAGGGCCCAGGAGAAAGTTCTGCTCTTGAGACACACAGAGCCCGTGAGCACAGTGGCAAGTGGAAGCAGCTGCGGTAGGGAAGAGGTTCCTGAGGTCTGACTCTGGAGGGAGCTCACAACGAAAGAGCAGTGTGCCTGGGAGAGGCACGGCAGACAGTGGGGTAACAGAATGTAGAGAAAGGAGACCGACACTAGAATTAGTAAAACGGTGGGAAATCAAGACCTGCGAATGTATCAGAGGCAAGGGGAGCAACGGGGGAGCAGGAGTGGAATTTGGGGGCTTTAAATAGTTGGGAAGACAGCATGTCACAGGCTGAGGAAGGGAAGATGGGAGACAGCTTTTCACAGGAAGCTGCTACACTCTGGTTATGTTGGTAATGTTTGGGAGAGATGCGTAGAACTACTCATTGAGCGTAGAGAAGTAAAAGTTTGGGTGTCAGTAAAAAGATCAAGAGTAGAGAAACATACAGAAGGAGAGTCAACCTGGGAGTAAGGGCTAGACTCAGTTAGCAGGGAGCATGCGTAGTGCACTCTCCGGGGTCACACATCATAGCAATGGTGTTTAAGCAGGGGACACTGACTGGTGGGGTGCAAGGGGAACATTTAAGCTGGGCTATAAAAGACCAAGCACCCCCCAAGGCCAGGTACTGGAAGAGGATGGTTATACCTACCTATTTCCATTCAATGTGCAGCCTGAGCAGAGAGCTAGTTAACAAAGCATCCCATGGTGATGGTACTAGGATCACACAAGTCTCTGGCAGAAGCTGGCTGATGACAATTCCAGAGCTAGCGAATCGGAGCTTTAAGAAGGATGGATATGAAGATATGCATTGTTCCGTCTTCCTCAGAAGCAGTTCTCCACAACACTGAAAGTCAGTGGGTGGTAATGAGGTGAACCAAGGAAGTGGGTTTCTGGGAGGAGAAAGCAGGTGTGCATGACCCTTCAGAGGGGTCATAGAGCACGGGGCAAGGAAAAGATTACTGGACAGGCTAACAAGCTCTCTGCATGCATACACCCCCCACCCGGTGTATAAGAAGAGACAGACCAGACAGTGAATGGAACACAACAAAAGTAACTGTAATCCTAGCCTTGGGAGGCAGCAATGGCGGCCTAGGGAACTTGGGGCTCAATGTGCCCAGGCTTTGGATAAATCGCAGCGTTGAAAGCACAGGAGTCAAATACCTTCTCCAGGTGTTCGACAGTAAGGAAAACAGAAGACGGACAGAGGTTAAAAAGGAGTCGGAGGACTGGATGAGAAACAAGTTGGGAGGTGTTTTTAAATGGTAACATTTAAAGCTAATAATTAAGATTGAAAGAAATAAGGCAAGTTGAAGATGCCAGAGAAGAGGCACATGCATATGTGTTTGCTTTTCAAGGGCCGAGAGCCAGCAACTGCTCCTATCGGCCCCACAGCACAGCAGTCTGCTGTAGGCTACGATGTGGTGAGCCTTGAGATCACTGTGGTTAGAAACAGAAGCCAGCCACACGCAATCACTAGTGGTGCCTTATCATCTGACCCTGCCTGTGAGCCCATTCATGAATGACCCAAACGGGCGAATGTATAGGGGCAGAAAGCAGGTTAGTGCTTGCCTAGGGCTAGGAGAAGGTGGGGGGATTGGGGCTAACCTGACAGCTACAGGGGTTCCTTTATCAAGTAATGGGAAACGTTCTGAAATTAATGGTGAACGGACATGCAGCATCATGAGCGTGCAAAAGCTACTTTAAATTGTATTGGGGGGGTGTGCTCAAATCTTTACAATCCTTTAAATGAACAAAACAAAAAAGGGTCACACAACTTTGGGTACAATCATTGCAAACACTTGTTCTTAGAGCCCTGGGCCCTGTGACTAGCACCCGTGAAGCTGCTTACGTGTAAGACCGAGGAGGGGTTTCGACAGGATCAAACGTTATCTATTTCTAATAACACACTCAAACCAAATGCCTTCACACAGATATTTCACACAGTGTCATTGTTCATTGGCGAATTCTGACAGAAGCCTCGAGAACCCCGTGAATATACTTAATGCCATCAATTTTATATCTAAAATGCTTAAAATAGTAAACTTTACATAACGTATATTTTACTACCACAAAGTTATGAAAAATAGAGTAATAATACAAGGTTCCCACCCACAGTGCTCCTTATGAGTTCTGCCTTGATAACAAAAGAGAAGCTGGAAACACTGCACACAGAGCACGCCTGGAACACACCTCCTCTGGCCAACCCTCTCCCTGAACAGCACAGCAGGGCACCCATAGTGGGGTGGCGGGGAGCTCTGTCTCCGGCAGATGCTATGCACTGCCTCGGGTCAGGTTGCAGGTCCCTAAGCTAACACTTGAAGTAAGGCTTCTACTGAATGTTCATCACTTTTGCTACGTTGTGAACCAAAATTTCCTAAGCAGCATCATTAGAAGTTGTAAATGGATATCATGGTGCGCATCTTTAATCCCAAGACTCCACAGGCAGAGGCAGGTGGATCTTGGGAGTTTGAGGTCAGTTTAGTCTACAAAGTGAGTTTCAGACCAGCCAGGACTACATAGAGAAACTCTGTCTCAAAAAGAAGAAAAAGAAAGAGAAAAAAAGACGAAGACAGACACGAAAGCAGTGGTCGTAGCGTCGCTGCCTATGCTCTTCCCTGTGACCTCACCAAGTTCTTCACACTGAGGGCAGAAAAAAAAATGATTACGTTAGCTGCAGCAAGGAAAACCAAGGCAACTTATCTTTAAACATCATTAAAACTAAACAAAAAAATAGATATTGAAATGTAGAATATGATTTAGTCTTTCAGAAGACTGGAAGTGTAGTGTAAACTGCAGCGTGGATAGGCCTTGAAAACACTAAGAGATTCCACCTGCAGGAAACAGAGTTCAATCGCAGCCATCACAGTGAGCAGTGGCTCAGAAGCTGGGGGGCGGGGGCGGGGTTGGGGTAAGCAGATGCAGAGGTAGAGCTGGGGTAGAAATGTTCTGGAAATGGGCAGTGGCGATTGGTTCGCAGTATAAATACGCAACACCACTGAATGTATGCTTAAAATGCATAAGACAGTAGATTCTATCTATTATGCATTTTTACTTCACAGAAGTATGAAAAATGCGATAGCATTCCTGATAGAACTGCAATGATGAAAACTGTACCTCAAGAAACAATCGTGAGTCTGGGAGGATTTGGGCACGAAAGACACCAGGCTGGGGGGAGGCTGTCTTGAGGACTCTCCCATGTGTCAGGGCGGAGTGAGCATTCAGGGACCACACACTGCTGGCTGCAACGGGGACTGTACTGTACTGTACTGTAGACAAGCCTGCTCTCCCACAGTAGCAGCCTCTACTAGGCATGGGAATGCTTCCAGCCAACCATCCATGTTCCCTTTAGGCACACACTACTGAGCCTGCTCCACCGCAGCCCAGACCCAGAAGGCTCGGTGGCTTTTGTTTGTTCTGAGACGGGATCTCATATCATAGCTCTGGCTGGCCTGGAACTCATGCAGACCAGGAAGAATAAGAATTCACAGAGATCCAGCTGCCTCTGCCTCCCAAGTGCTGGGATTAAAGGGGTGCGCCACCATGCCTGACTCTAGAAGATATTAATTACATAAGCTATGGAATGCAGAGGAAAGTTTAAATTGTTTATAAAATGAAGAGCAGATTTTTCTTGCAAGTATTGTACGTGAATGGAAGGAAATGATATTTAAAAGAGGTGACACAGACTAGAGAGATGGCTCAGTGGTCAAAAGCAATGGTTGCTCTTCCAGAAGTCCTGAGTTCAATATCCAGCAGCCACATGGTGACTCACAACCATCTATAACAGGATCTGATGCCCTCTTCTGGCATCAGTAGAAACAAAGCACTCATACCTAAAAATAACATAAATCAATAAATTTTAGCTGGTGGTAGTTAAGCATCCCTTTAATCCCAGCACTCAAAGGCAGAGGCAGGCAGATCTCTGTGTTCAAGGCCAGCCTGGTCTACAGAATGAGTTCCAAATAGCCAGGGCTGCACAGAGAAACCCTGCCTCAAAAAAAAAAAAAAAAAAAAAAAAAAAAACAAACGTAGATAAATAGAAAGATGGATGGATGGATGGATTAGAGAGATAGACAGACAGACAGACAAACAGCAGGTGTCTTCACAGAAAGGTTATAGAAAAGGGTTTAGCATATTCCTAGGAGTCTCAGCTTACTAAGTGTTACCCACTTTCCCAGGAAGCTCCAATTTCCCTTTCTGTTACCTTGGAAAGAATGTCAAGGGTGGGGGTGGGGTAGGCAAGTCCATCCAGTTCAATGCTTACAAGGTATAATGAGGAATATGGGATACTGGGTTTATTTGGGATAGAAAATGGTAGGAAAAGAAAAGAAAAGTTATTTGTTGTTCCGTTTTTGTTTTTCTTTCTAGCTCTGTCCCTCTAGAAGACAACGTCTGGGGAGATTTGTCGCAAAGGAAGAAATGTGAGCAAGGCAGTGAGGGCCCCACTGCCCTTCCTGGGCAGAGCACAGGCTGCTAATCCAATCACATCTGACAACAGAGCCCATAATTGAATGATCCATGAGATTTTATTATCCAGGTGTTATGTGTCTGCCCCCTGAAGATGAGAGCCAACTAATCCATGACGCACGGGAACAATCAGAACTGTGCCTTGTTTATGACTTCAGAACCTATGTGGAAAAGTTAAGACATGGATTTATGTAACTCTAATAAGGAAAATTTGAAACCAAATGAATATTTATAAAACGTATTTCAGAGACGTGGAAGGTAAAAAGTCCCTTCCACATACTTTGCAAATTGGGAGACATGTAACTACTTTAAGCAGAATTCAATCTTCTATTTCACTCCAGATTACATTAAAGGAAAAGCGGCCATCCACCCTGAACCTGTGTCTCCTGGAAGTCAGTGGATGGATTTCCAGAGTGATTTTCCTCATCCACACTACATGAAATCTTCTAGCTAGAAAAGCCAGATGTTACATTCTTCTCAAGAGCTGGGTCGAGTTTTAGGTATCAACGAACGCAGCACTCCAGGGCTCGCCATGCTGGGCAGGAAGAACTTCACATCATCACAGGGTACAGTATGAAGTGAAAACAGCATTCCCTCTGGCCGTCATGGCTGCAGCTTCTGTTATGATGACCCTAAGGACACAAGGCTCTGCACATGCTCTGGCTAGGAAGTGTTCAGGAGGCTTCCAGCATGTCCTTGTCTGGCTCCTTCTGACTGCAGAGCGCAAAGGATTCCTGCACAAACTGCCGGCACATGGGACACTGCTTGAAGTAGCACACACAGCTGTCGCACAGGCAGGCGTGCCGGCAGGGCAGCAGCACCCAGTTCACGCCCCCGTTCTGGCACACCACACAGTCCTTGCTGCTCTCCTCCACGGGCTCCACGTCACTGCCAGCCAGTCCTGCCTTCTCCAACAAGCTCTGCTCGGCGCTTCTGTCTGCTGGAGAGGGCCTGCTGGAGGGACTGGGGCTGCTGTTGGCAGACATGAAAAGTTGCTGAAAAGCAAAGAAGCAGTGTAAAGGCAACTGTGAACAACAGGCGCTCCATGAAGCCGGGGTCACAACGCTAGCAAACCCAACAGCAAGACTAGTTAACTCTGCAGCTAATGAGAAACCATAGTTCTCTTTACAGACAGCCATTCCTCCAGCTCTAAAATCAACAAACACTACCTCCTAGGACTTACCTTAAGATCATAAAATTGACCTTGAGCCAGGAGTAAATATTGATACAATATTCTGCAGGGAAGTTTGTAAGTCTTATCAGGAATATGAATTACTGACACCATGGAAATCTAAAATAAAAATTGGACATAAGTCAGCACTTAAAACTATTTCACAGAAAAGTGAAAAAAAATAAATGCTTCTCAAATAAGAGATATATTAGAATGTTTACACTAATTTATATAAATCACAGCACTGAAAGGAACCGTCACTGACAGTTTTTTTTGTTTTGTTTTGTTTTGTTTTTTCTTTTTGGATTTTTCGAGACAGGGTTTCTCCATAGCTTTTGGTTCCTGTCCTAGAACTAGCTCTTGTAGACCAGGCTAGCCTCAAACTCACAGAGATCCGCCTGCCTCTGCCTCCCGAGTGCTGGGATTAAAGGCGTGCGCCACCACCGCCCGGCTCACTGACAGATTTTTGACACATATTAATTATACTGAAATTTACAGATTCATTGTGGTCCCAATAAAATCAGTATAGAAGCTACGTACACTGATTCTAAAATACTGGCATAGAATAAGAGGTAGGAAGGCACTCAATAGTCCAGAGCAGCCTAACCTCATTAAATATTAAATCGTATTGAACTGATTCATAAGTAGATGGATGGAAGAGACAGAAGAAACAGCCCAGAAGAAAATAATAAAATAAAAAACAAAACAATTACTTATGTGCAAAAATACAAAGAAGGTGTCATCTTAAGCCACAAGGCATAGGGAAATTTTGTTTATTTTCTTTAAATAAATAATTTAGGGACAACTGGATAACAATTTGGAAAAATGTGTAACTGATGTGTCTCATACGGCACACATGACACCATGTAACTGATGGCTGTCTCATACGGCACACGTGACACCGTGTAACTGGATGACTGTCTCATGGCACACGTGACACGGTGTAACTGATGGCTGTCTCATACGGCACACGTGACACCGTGTAACTGGATGACTGTCTCATGGCACACGTGACACCGTGTAACTGGATGACTGTCTCATACGGCACACGTGACACCGTGTAACTGGATGACTGTCTCATACGGCACATTTGTCATACCAGGGCTGGGAAAGAGCACACAAGTGGATCCTAGGAGTTTGCTGGCCAGTCTAGCCCATCAGCGAGCTCTGTTCAGCCAAACACCCAGCCTCAAAAGCATAAGGCGCAGAACAACTGAGGAAGACACCTGACGCTGACCTCTGACCTCCACAAGACACGCCCACATGCACACACTCATGAACACACTTATACAAGTGGAAAGTGACTGGCGAGGATACTCAGCGCTGATCTCTGGACACACACACACATACACACAAAGGTAAGTGGTTTCTGGGATTGGATTTGCGTCACCTGGCTTACAGACAAGCATTTTATCAGATGAATGACCTGGAATGACTTTTCTTCAACTGTATTTATCTGAGGTATACAATAACATGTGCTGCTGTGGGATGCGTAGTAAATGGTCGTTACAGTCAAGCAAACTAACACACCCATTACTTTACAGCGATTCTCCCTCTCTGTGGCAAGAACACCCATGCTCTTCCAAAGTATTCTGAATATCACCAACTGTAGCCTTCATATTAGGTACCACACCTGAAGCTTTATAGCAGCGACCTACACTTCTCCATTCCTCCCCCTCTGGCTGTATTAATTAAGAAAAAAAAAAGGAAAAGGTTTCAGTTTGATTTTAAAAAATAAAATTTGAAGCCAGTCATGGTGGTGCACGCCTTTAGCCCCAGCACCCAGGAGTCAGAGGCAGGTGGATTGTTTGAGGACAGCCTGGTCTGCATAGTTTCAAGACAGCTATAGCTACACAGTGAGACCCTGCCTCAAAACAAACAAACAAGCAATAAATAAATAAAATGAAATTTGAGATACTTATATGCAAATAACAAGTTATATTTTCCCATAAGGGTCTGTACCTTTCAAAATTCAGCACACACTTATTTCATGAAGATACTCTGCTTTTTTGTTTTTGTTTCTTGAGACAGGGTTTCACTGTGTAGCCCTGGCCATCCTCGAACTCACTATATAGACCAGGATGGACTTGAACTCACAGAGATCCTATCTGTGCCTCCCAAGCGCTGGGAGTAAAGGTGTGCGCCACCAGTGCCCAGCAATACTCTGCTTTTTACAAAAGGGTAAAAGTAGGGACCCAGCTCAACAGTAGAGCACTTGCCTATCACAGATGAGGCCTCGAGTCTGACCTGGGGGAGAGTAGGGCTGGGATTTTCTCTACTCTGCTTGAGTCTAATAAAGACCTTTGTGCTAACACCCTAGGCTGTTGCTGAAAGGAAACCACAGGCTTGTGTTGTGAATATATTTTGCACATTATACACAAAAGTATCATTAGAATGTCACTGCATCTTTACTAATGAGCATATACAAGGACTGGGTTTATCTGTGTAGCCCTGGCTGCTCTAGAACTTGTTCTGTAAACAAGGCTGGGCTCAAACTCAGATATGCCTGTCTCTGCCTCCTAAGTGCTGGAACTAAAGGCATGCACCGTCATACCTGCTTTTGCCAAGAGTTCACCAAAAGTTTGTAGATATATGGGTTAAGTTTCTCTGATTAGAAATGCTTGGAAGTAAAAGTGGTCCAGATTTTAGATCTTTCAGATTTGGATATATTTGCATATACACAATGAGCTATCCTAGAGAAGGAGATGAGCCCCAAGTCTAACCAGGAAATTAATCTGTGCTTTAAGAACATCTTAGAAACACGGCCTGAAGATCATTTTCAAAAGCACGTTTGGTACACACACACTTAACTGTGGCTGGTGAGTGAGGGCGGGTTAGAATTTCCTACATGTAGCATATCTCGGTGCTCAAAAGATCTCCAGTTTTCAGAGCGGGATGCTCAACCTGTGTATGTTTCCACCTCACACAGAGGGTGGAGACTCAGGGCCTCTCTGATCACTTAGATGCTTTTATGCTCCAAACAGGGAATGAACTACCAGTCTAAAGAATCAGTACATAGGGCCAGAGAGATGGCTCAGTGGTTAAGAGCACTGGCTGTGCTTCCAGGGATCCTGAGTTCACTTCCCAGCAACCACATAGTGGCTCACAACCATCTGTAATAAGATCTGGTGCCCTCTTATGGTGTGCAGGCATACATGCAGACAGAACACTATATACATAATAAGTATTTTTTAAAAATCAGTACATAGTGAGAAAACAAGACTCTCAAATGACTGAACACAGAGATCCCAAGTGGAAAGCACAGGCTTAACAAGGAATCCAACGGACACAGGCGACAAAACTATGGCCCGAGAAGAACAGACCTGGTCATAAAGTCAGGCACTTAAGGTCATAGTGATCCTGATCAACTCAGACACGTATCCCAAAGGACATTTTCTCTAAAGCAAATATTACCTAACAGAGAGGACGATATTAACTGAGTTCAACGACAATCTACCTTTTATTTATAAATAAGCCCATGTAGTTGTCATCTACAGGGAGTGGGGAGATGGGTGTCTGAAGGCGTGTTATAGGTACAAATCCATATTTTAATTTTTCAAGACATGTATGTCCAAGACCAAATATGTTTTCAGAAATGATCTTTTTCCTATCTCAGAAATAATTAAGAATCACCCCAAATCTTGTAAAGGTAAAGCGTTCCGGATGCTTCAGTTACTTACAATATCATAAATTTCCCGGTCCTCCTCATCAGCGAGGGTCAACAGAGCTACCAATGGATAACGAGATCTGGGCACTGGACCAAAGTCGTCAATTTCAGTATCGCTCGGTAATTGGCAATATAGTTCTTCTTTGCTGTGTTTTTTAATACTTTTGAATATGTA